GGTTCCGGGGGGCGGGGCCCCCCCCCCCTCGCTGCGAAACCCCTATGGGGGCCTGGAAGGTTTAAATTGTTGCCCGGACTTTCAAAAAACCCGCCCGGTCGCGCCCGTCCCGGGTTAAGATGGGTCGCGGAGTCTAAGTCTCGCCCCGGAGGTTTTGTAAAGCCCCCCCCCCCCCCCCCCCCCCCCTCCCCGTCACGGCTATGAGGACCCCCCTGCTTACATCCCCTGAAGGCTTTCAACAGAGGCCTTCACACTCTCTCTTTCTTTACTCTCAGTGCTGCCGATGCTGCTATCGCTTCCACCGCAGCAGCAGCGGCGGAACCTGGCCGCTCGCCGTCCGCCCCTACCCCGACCCCCACCGCCGCCGCCGCCGCCGCCGCATCGGAGCCGGGCTCCTGCTTCACGATGCGCATCATGACGCAGTCCAGGGGCTCGTTGTCGTAGCACTCGACCACCTCCGCCCTCTTCTCGGTGAGGTCCACCATCTCTTCGATCGTGTCGCAACCGCCGTCGGACCCCTCGTGAGCGGGCCTGGCGGCTGTCGAGAGCTCTTGGTACCACGCCGGGATGCACGCCGCGTGCCCCCTCCTCCCGGCTAGGAGCGAGGCGGCGAGGTGCGGAGGGTTGCGGTCGTAGTGCGCAAGTCGACGGAGGAACACGTTCGCTTCTCGCCTTCGCCTCTGCTTGAGCAGGACGAGGAGGTGCTCCTCGAATCTTCGGCGGCAGGAGAGAGGGGAGGGGGGGGGGGGGAGGAATTAGGGATGTACACCACGGATATAGAAAATGACAGAGAGAGAGAGAGAGAGAGAGAGAGATCAAAGGACCAAAAGGTAGCACATCAGAAGCACGGCGGGGCACCGCACAATGAAAAAAAACAGGACGGGGGTAAGCTTCCAAGGACGATTTTTCCCATTCTAAGGACACTTCGTTTTTTACGAAAAACACGAGTGTCTCTACAGCGGTGACGACTGCACTGCCCTAGCAAACACCCCCCTTCAACACACAACCCCAACCCGGTTTGGGATATCAAAAGAGACGCCTCTGCTGGAACTCCTAGCACGTCTGTCAATACAGTGGTTGTCCCGACATACCGCTATCCCGAGCAGTGCGGGTCACGATACACAATCGCTTGTCATGGGGATTGGCTACCATACTACATACCTATTCCCCAACACTCAATAGTGCCGTGTCCCGCGGGAATTTTGCCCGTCACTACACGGGTTGGAGCAAACGGCAAAACAAGTGCTGTGAGCGCTGATTTTGAGGTCAAGACAAGAAATAAAAAAAACTACTCCGCGGTATTTCGGGACCACGTCTGTGTGGGCACTGCTCACCTCTTTCCATGGCTGGCCTCAAGCCGAGTTATCCTAAACGGCCGCACTTACGTCAAGACGAGATCTAAAAAAACGCCACCGCTCACCTCTTTCCGTGGCTGGCCTCAAGTCGAGTTATTCTCAACGGCCGCGGCCACCCGGGTTTCCTGTACCTCCGCAAGTCCAGAAAACCGTCGCGCCTGGCGGTATGCAGCAGCCCCTCGAGCCCCTCGTCGTCAACCGTCTCCTCCTCTATACGGGCGTACGGCGCCAGCAGCGGGTCATCATCATCATCATCACCTGCTGTACCGCTCCCGAACCGTCTCCCGGCAGCAGCCGCCGCCGCGGCTTCCGCTGATGGCGGTCCCAGCGTCGGTCCGCCCCCTCTCCTCGGAGTGACGGCCGAGCTTCCCCGCCGGGGACTTCGTCGCGGAGAGGCTCGGGTACCGGCGCGCGGCCTGCTACTGCTGTCGTAGCGGTAACTTGCTGCGGAGCTGCCTGCTGCCGGAGACACACCAGCCTTGTCACGTTCGAGCTTGATGCGAGCCTTCTTGTTGGCAGATGCTTCTGCGTAGTCTTCGCCCGCGACGCCTGCTGCTGTGTCCCTGCCCACGACGCAGGAGCGACGTCTGCAAAAAAAAAAAAAAACTAAGGCGACGGGACAACACATGGTCGCTGAAACTGGTTGGGCGGGGAACAGATCCTTGGCAAAGTTGCCCTGCGGCAAAAAACAAAAACGGATGGTTCACAGCACAAGACTTCACCCTGTGTCGGGTATTCAGGCACGAGATAGCTCGGCAAATATCTTCGAACGAAAGAATCGCGTTGCTGCCAGCGATAACGCATTCTCCAGGTTTTCGGGTACAGTTGCCCTGCAACACACTGCACTCGATGCTCTCTCTCCAGGCGAACGCGAAAAAAAAAAAAAAACGCTCACCCACCTCTTTGCTCGACTGCCGGAGCCTACAACCCTCCCTGCGATACCGCCGCTGCCGCCGCCGCCTCCCATCAACAGCAGCGTCTTGCTCCTGGCCTTCTTGCCCGACCGTGGGGGTTGCTGCTGCTGCTGCTGCTGCTGCTGCTCCTGCTGTTGCTTCTGCTGTTGCTGCTGCTGCTGTTGGTCGCGCTGCTGCTGCTGTTGCTTCTGCCGTTGCTGTTGCTGCTGCTGCTGCTGCTGCTTCTGCTGTTGCTGCCGCTGCTGCCGCTGCCCTGCAGCCGGACCGCTCGATGCGGCGCAGTCCGCCTCTTCGATGGAGCCAAGATCAGGCCCCCCTCCTTCTGGGTGATGTAGCAACGCCTCGTCAAACGCCGCCGCCGCGGGAGCCACAACACCGGTGCTCAAGGGCAAAACTCCTGGCGGGGGCGGCGTGTTTGCCTTCCCTTCTTCCTGTCTTCCCTCTCCAGCCCCCCCCCCCGCTGCTGCTCCAACTCTTCTTGCTGCCCCTTCTGCGCCCTGTTGGTCAGGAGGAAGCCTTGATAGCCTTGATAGCCTTGATGCTCCAACTCTTCCTGCTGCTGCTGCTGCTGCCGCTGCCGCCGCTTCCGCGCCCTGTTGGTCAGAAGGACGCCTTGATGCTCCAACTCTTCCGGTTGCCGCTTCCGCGCCCTGCTGGTCAGAAGGAAGCCTTGATGCTCCAACTCTTCCTGCTGCTGCTGCTGCTGCTGCTACTGCTGCTGTTGCTGCTGCTGCCCCTTCTGCGCCCTGCTGGTCAGAAGGAAGTCCTGATGCCCCAACCCTTCCCGCCGCCGCGTCCGCGCCCTGCTGGTCAGAAGGAAGCCTTGATGCTCCGAACCTTCCTGCTGCCCCTTCTCCGCCAGAAGGAAGCCCCCGCGGCCGCGGACCGCGGCGGAGACGGAGACCGCGCCGAAGAGCTGCTGCCAGACCAAAGGCCGGACGCTCTTCCTCGACGCCATCACGACCAAAGCCACCTGTGCCGTTTCCGTCAACGACGACATTACACCCACGAGAACCGCAGCTCTCAGTAGCAGTAGGGGGCGCCGCCGAATCATTTGCCGAGGCTGAAGTTTCGCGACTTGGCTGGCTTTGCTCTGGTGTCTCTCGGCCCCCCTGGCGCTGGGAACCGGAGGGCGCTACATCATGAGCAGGCGCCCGCGGTGCTTGAGTAGCCGCCGAAGAAGTCGCCGCTCCTACAGCCCCCATCTCCGACGCAACAGCACTACGGGAGGCAGGGGGGGAGGGGGGGCGACCGCTCTCTGCCGCGTGGCTCCCGGGGGTGACGTCATTGTCACAACCTCTATTGCTCTCCTCTTCCTCTACATCCTCCTCCTCTTCCTCTTCCTCCTCCTCCTCCTCATGTTCAGGAGGCGGTGGGGACGACTTCGAGACCTCCGCCAACCATCGCTTGTAACTCTCGAAGAGTTCCGGATTGTCGAGCAGGTATCTCGGCAGCTGGGGTGGACGGCAGCGGGGTTAATTTCCACACACAAAGCGAAGAGCGAGGTTGGCTTCCACACGGAAAGGGAAGGGGACGAGATGAGCGAGCGGCAGTTTTTAAGCTACGACTAGCACCAGAAAAATACGCACCCTCCGCTAAACACGAGAGGAGAAATGTTTTGGCTATTGTACCGTTGGGGGGTAGGGTGTGCAGTCAGCCCAGTGACAAGAGTATGGCGGCGCCGCCAGCTACGAACCGACTCATTAAACTCGACGCTGTTGTGAGAAAAAGAAGGCAACTATTCACACATGCGATGTGCTAGCTCACGCATGTGAAATACACAGCACCGTGGAGCGAACTAACCCCGACCACCCACGTCCTCCAGATCACCATGTTCAGCACACGTAACCTCTCCTAGACCGACAGCGACGGATGATGCACACCGCCCGCCCATTTGCCGAACAACACCGGACAACACTAGCGCCTCACCCTTCCTTGAGGCATTGGCCCAGCTCTTTGCTCGCCACTTCCCGCCCCATCCGCTGCGTCAGGCCCGCAGACGTGCCAGCTGTGGTCGTTGGCAAAGCCCCAGCCCTCCTTCTCTCGCAGGAACGTCCAGACCAGGGGTAGGTCCCGGCTCAGCCGCTTCTCGTCGTTTTCGTGTCCTTTTCTCTCGTCGCCACCGAACAGGGCAGGCTGGCTGCCGCTACTAGGTTGCTGTTGTTGCTGCTCATCGCGCCCTCCACGTCGGCTGCCATCGGCAGAAGGCGCCGACACCATCCGCGGGGGAGAAGCCGCGGCCCTCGCCACCACCGCCTCCCCGCTGGGCATTGCACCGCCCTCCGCTCCACGATCGCCCTCGGCAGCAACCACTATATTTTCGCCAGAGTTCTCATCGCCAAAGCTCTCCATTGGAGGGGGCATCGGGCCTGCGGGCGATTTCAACCAGCGCCTGTATCTCTGGAGTAGTGCTGCGTTCTTCCTCAGGTAGGATGGCAGCTGTAACGCACCGCCGAAAGAGGGGCCACCGCAGTGAGAGGGTGGTGGGGGGGGGGGGTGAGGACAGCAATCATGAGGTAGCTCACCCTGTCTTACCCATGACCATGGATAAAAAATACTCGGGGCCAACTTCTTTCAAGTCCACATGGAGCTTATACGCCCCGGTTACCCGCGTCTTTCAAATCACAAGGGACACCCCCC